GTAAGTATCCGAATTCTTTGCTCGGCCGCCCAGTGGCCCCCCTGTGTGTCTGCCGTGTTCTTCTGCGCCGGCGCCGTTCTGGGCTGCGTCTGCTTTCGGCCCATTTAACCTAGGTTCAGTGCCTGATCCAAGGATGTGCCTGGTTTCATTTCATTCTCCGGACTCCGGTGGACTCGCGGAAAATTTGCGGACAACGATGACAATGTGACGTCGACGTCCGTCCTTCAAAGCTTCGGCGCCAGCGCTTGCTCAAGGCGGCCAGAAGACGGGCAGGTGAGTGAATACTCATCGATTCTTTGTCTTACGTTAACGTTGAGCAGACCGACCGAGTCCAAGTGATTAATGCATGATGAATGGACTTGCCTGCGTATCTTCACGATCTTATGCTTGGCGTGTACTGATAAATCGTCTTCTGTAGTGATCGCCACACCTCGGGACATGATCTGATTCTCATAGGACCGTCATCACCGTGTTTTGCACTGGCAGTCCAAGTCTATCATCGCCACTCTGAACGTCCGCGATCAAGTAGCGATGACGTTTGCGACACGAGGTCCCCACGATCTCGTACATATAAAAGTAATCTATCGTTATCCGATCGCCCGGAGCGCGATACTTTTATGCGCACTCGCTGAGCGCGTCTGTTCGCCTCGCTTCTCGCGCAATATTGTCAACGTGCTCAGCCGTGGGACCTTTATTTCGTGGGCGGGTTTGCAACTCTCAAACGGTGTTTATGCGATCCACCATCGTTGCGTTTTGTGGTGCTCAACATCGAGGTAACGGAATGTTTCACACCGCACCCCATGTTCTTCAGCTTGAGTACCATGCTGAAGGACTAGACTACTTGCGCGCGCGAAGAAAAGTAGTACGTATACACCAACATACGCTACTGGCAGCTGCGCAGTACTACGGCGGCGGCGCGATTCTCTCCCCTCTAATCCGTGTGGCCGCGTTGTATGATTTCTTCGAAGAACTTCCACTGAAACAGCCACTTGATGATTCTGTGTGATCTCAACAAGAGGAGTGAGGGCCTGTGCCATGACCAACTTATCACCGGATCGCAATGGGTAGAAGCCTACCTCACATAACGGACATTGTAGGAGCCCCCGGAGGGGGGTCCACGCATATTCCATCGACGCAGGGCTGGCCATCGTTCTGTACCACTGGGGCTTGGAGCGGCGGAATTCGCTCAGTTTGTCAAGTTGAGCTTGACCTGGACGCCGTGTAAGGCTCGGCTCGGAAGAGTGACCGATCGCCAAGATGTAGATCGTCTTTGAAAGTTCTTGGGCCTCGTCGCCTATAGGCCATACTACGTCAGTAGAGAGGTGGGGAAAGTATGCCAACTCTCTCCCCATCTTATTCCTCGCCAGGACACCGACTGTTGGGTCTTTATAGTCATGGCGATGCCCTGGCGGACCGTACCTCGCTACCCTCCTCTAGAGTCCCTCTGTGAGTACCCAACCGAAGGCATACCACTCGTCTGTGCTGCCAGGGATTGCGCTCGGTAGGCCAGGGTAGTCCGCTAGCCTTGTTGTCCCGAGGTCTGTGGCATGGGACTCGGAGGAGACTTCGGCCTGGCGCATCCAGTGAATCACAGAGGTCACATTCCAAGTCTCAGCTTTCCCAGACCTTTAACGTGCAGACAGACTTACCTAGGCGGTATTTGGGTCAGGGGAGCTTTGGGTTGACATATTACCACTAGCCTGAATAGTTGAGCAGAGGCTTCAGTTCGGAAGTCGATGGGCGTAGTAGAAACTGCAAGCCAGGTCAGTGTACTGACAGATCCTGAGACTTGTTAGATGCTCGGTCGCATCGACACGTACTTATATACAGTATCTCAAAGATGAGTCCACTTCACAAGGTTGTGATTCATCAATTCAAATTGGTCACTCGCCAACATACATACGCTCAACTCCGACTGACGCGCGTGACAGAAAATTCAGAAAACCCTTGCTGCTGCCTCTTGCTCTGAGACTAGTCATGTCTGCTTATCTTCGCTCCCAGTGCATACATTGAATTGGGTTTGTGACTTATAGAAGCCGTCCATACCGTCTATCGAAAACCCCCAGGTTCTGATGAAGTAGCATAATATTCAAAGACTAGATGTGCCTTCCATGTGCAATGTCGTGCCATCAACGAGCGGTCTCGGGTTTGCAATGTCCCTCTCAAACTTAGATGTACAGCCTGTTTAGCGCCCGATGACGTTACTATGAAGGAGTCGATGTTTACAACATTCGTGTGGCATGGAACTGGCTCGAAATGATTACTCTGGCATCCAAGAGAGATCCATAGGCAAACTGAGGCAAGAGCAAGAACACTGGGAGTGATTGCGCTGTGCAGTTGGGTGCTCGCCCACGCAATATGCAAACAACCGTAAATAACTGTGCGGTTTTCACCGGTCCGATGTGACCTATTACCATGACCGTGCTTCATCTCCGTGGCATGTTCCACCTTTCTGCGAACACACCCAAGCAGCAAGGCTGCTCTGCACCATCTGGTATAAGTAAGTCAGATGAGTATGCATCTCATTGCATTCTCGAATCGCACTTCAACTCAACTGCTCACATCTGCGAATGACAAGGTACCTTGCCTCTTGACTTTTCAACATCTTCTAGCTGCTTACTCCAATCGACTCCAGCACGACTGCCCCGGGGTGCAAATGCATCGTCGACACCTCACTATATGCACTCAACGGTCACAATCCGCCCACTGTCGAGAAGCCTTTGGATCTCGCTGTTGATGCCACAGCTTGCAAGATCCGACTCATCGATTGCCACGCCGTTTGCAGCAAGCAACTCAGAATCCGTATCCTTGAGTTCGACGAGTTCCCGTTAGTGCCATACGCTACAATCTCCTACCCATGGCGCGGAGTTGAAACTCGTGCAACACGGAGATCCTTCCATGTACGTCTGCCCGACTCAGGCGAGCACCGCCGCTACCCTGACCCTATAAGTGGTGTTCTCCTTTTCCATGCAAGCGCAGCCGCACTGGCGCACGATTGTCCCTACCTATGGCTAGATAGACTATGCATCATACAGACTAGTGAGGAGGACAAGCACTGGCAGATCCGCCACATGTACGAGGTATACAGGTCCTGCAAGCTCTGTATCGTCCTACCCGGCGGTCTGCAGCGTGTCGCAGACATCGACGAGCCGACCACATGGATCCATCGCAGCTGGACACTGCAGGAGACACTCGCGCCGCCAGAGGCGATCATCGTCTTCCGCTGGAGGCTCGGACCCGGCACTGCGCGTGTACCCATGGTCGGGGACTTTCCCATCACGACCGTTCCGCACGCCAACGAGGTAGTCATGCTCCCCCTGAGGCTCGTGCTCGTCGCCAGTACTGTCGGGAGTATGATCTTCACCCCAGAGGCCGAGGGGAAGGAAGAAGTGTCAGTGAGGGTGTCGATCTTCAGTGCACATCCTCCACCTCCTTGGCACGCCAACTCGTCAAAGGGCTCCCAACCCCGGATCCTGGCTACAAACGTCTCCGCGCTGAGTATGGTGATGGAGCCCGAAGTGAGGGCGGACCCAGACCGGCGTGCTCACGCCGTTTGGCAGAGTTCACTCATGCGCACGTCGTCCCGCCCCGTCGACATGGTCTTCAGCATCATGGGCCTTTTCGGCGTAGAGCTCAACCCTGGTTCGTTCGACGTGGACGACAGGAGGGGCGCGACTATCGCGCCGTCCTTCAGGCGGGCGGACGGGCGAACTGGCTGGGTATAGCCTGTCGCATGCCCCTGGATAGATCCCTCTCGATATTTCCTACGCTACCACGCACCAGTGTGGCTGGGATGGCGCTGGTGCAGGTGGGGAAAGACCGGATACAAGAAATTTCGGAGCTCATGGACCCAGTCTACCCTGTCCCTGACAAGCTCGTACCCCTTCCCAAAGGCAGTATCGAGGCTGACGGATACCTCGTAGCCTCCGTAAAGAGTGTTCCCGTGTGGCAGGTGCAGTCAACACCTCCAAGCAATGCTAGCCATGCGTTGCGCGCACTCGACGGCACCTTCTGGCAGCTCAGCCCACCGAACGAAGAATGTAGCAGAAAGCCCAAGGTCTTCGCAGCTCTTCTGGGTTGGTTCCACTGGTACTATCCCAGATGGGTAATCTCCGAAGACGATACAGAAAACATCCGGCTCATGCTGCTGGAGACGCGCCCGGGCCGAAAAGCGGAGGATGGTGACGATGAGGGACGTGCTGCGCTAACGGTCTACGTCCGCTCGTTCATCTGCCTGAATCAAAGCGAGAAGGAGGTCGTCCTGCAATGGACTGCGCGGCAATTCTGCATTGGAGCAAGCGACACGCACGGGCTGAATATGTCCGAGCCGACTGCTGGCATGTCCGGGTCTGGCACTGGCAACTCCGTGCCCAAGCCGTCTATCGCAGAAGTCCAGCAGACCTACTTCGAGGAGGCACCCCCTTGGCCGGCAGGCAGTTCTGGCAACGAATATGTGAACGAATGCAGGGGGCAGGCTCAGGCTGCGCAACCGTACAAGACCGTGCAGGAATTATTCGCTAAGCCCAACATAGATGGTACCAATTCTCCGTTGCGGTACGTCTGATACTACCAGATGAAAAATTTCTCCCTCGTTACCATTTTGTGGTATCTAGTTTTGAAGGAACTGAGCCGTCTGAGCCAGCAAAACCCCAGCCTCAGCGTATCGGATGGCTTGACCGTTGCCCTCTGTATTGGGCCATTTGTACACTTCTAGGTGTGATCAGCGCTCAGGCTCGATCAGTCGTTAGTAGAACTACTTAGTTTACGGCGATGAAAATGTCCAGACTTGTGAGCGTGACGCAGCGCGTGGTAACTTGAAGTCCTGTAGAAATATACTGCTGAACCGTTCATTGGTTTTTTCGTTTTTAACGAGAGAACGCGGTATGGGTACCTATCACTTTGCAGAGTAACGACGAAAGGGAGAATGAGCTCTTCTGAGATACGAATCCCAGGACATTGCCCCAGCAAGGTCCGGGAGGAGCCCAAAAAAAGTTACCAACTACCACCGACGGGGATCGAACCCGCAACCCCCACCTGACCTTCCATTGAGTAGGAAGGTGATGCGCTACCATTGCGCCACGATGGCTCACCTATATCTCCTACATCATGCAATAATCGGCGTCTAAATTTCAGGTAGGGCCGACTGGGTGTCTGCTTGAGATTCACTTCACACTGACGATTGGCTATGGAGAGGCCTAACGCAATACAATGGTCAAATCAAACTTATGGGAAGTTGGGCACCTTCGTGCCCCACGATTGCAATCTTCACATCAATAGGTGCTATTCAAGTTCAGTCGAGATGCGGATGGCACGGCACACGAATACAGAGACGAGGTCAGTGTGAGCTGGGATCAGAGCGTGTAATGTGATAATATACAGGTGACGGATGTATGTAGTGTGTATCGACGTAGCTGCTCTAGGCTGAGACAGTAATGCTCATTAGGGAGGGTGATGTTAACGTTAACGCACGTGTACTCGGGTCTCCTATGCAATCTCCTACGATGCGCATAGCACGTCGGGCAAGCTCGACGCCACGCCGCCGACCTGCGCAGCTCATGAGACGGTCAGTCCGACTAGCCATTTGGTGGCGTCTTGCAGACTGACACAGTCACATTGTTCGCGCTGACACCCGAGGTGCTCATAGGGAGAGGGTGTCCTTCCAGCGCTCCGCCACAGCCTCGCCGCGGAAGACCTCGTGGAGAACCTCCTTGACATCCTCGACGTAGACGAACCGGATGCCGGTCTTCACGCTCTCTGGGACGTTCTCCTCAATGTCCTGGCGGTTGCCTGCGGGCGCAATGATGGTCTTGATACCTGCGCGGTGGGCGGCGAGGATCTTTTCCTTCAGGCCACCGACAGGGAGCACCATGCCGACGAGGGAGATCTCGCCAGTCATTGCTGTAGAGTGAATCCGTTCAGTAACACGACTGTAGAGGAGACACCGCGAATGGCGTACCGATGTCGGGGCTAATCTTAGTCTTGGTGAACAGCGACACGAACGCGGACAAGATCGCTGTTCCCGCACTCGGGCCCTCCTTCCCAATGCTGCCCTCTGGCATGTGGACATGGATGTCCCTGTCGGTGAGGAACTGCTCATCTGGTGTCTTCGTGATGCCCAGCTCGTACGCATGGCCCTTCACCCAAGAGAGCGCGATCTGCGCACTCTCCCTGATGACCTCGCCAAGCTTTCCGGTCAACTGCAGGCCTCCCTTGCCAGGCACCGACTAGGAAACGACGGGAAAATTGGATAAGCACATTCATGATCATCGATGGAGAAAACGTTACTTACGAGGGCCTCGATCGGCATGACTGCCCCAGAACCATTGCCCAAGTACCCAAGACCCGTACTGACACCAGCAGGAGGAGCCTGCACATACAACCTATCCTTCTGATACACCGGCGGCCCGACGTACTCTTTGAGATTCTCTGGAGTGATCGTGACGTGCACGGTGTCGGGCACCTTCATCGGCTTTCGCTGAATGGTGGTGACGACGCGTTCCGAATTCTCCTCTCCAGTTGCACGCGGAGTTGATGTCTCAGGAGCCCCAGGAGTGTCCAGAGGTGCGTCCTGCTTCTCGACCGTAGAGGTGGTCTCAGCGGGTCTCCCATCCGTCTCGCTGGCATCGGCGGCGGATGCCGTTTCGGCAGCAGCGGCTGGCGTGGGCTCGGGGAAAACCTCCTCGCCGAGGTCCTGAACAATCTTCAGAGCAGCTTTGCGGTAGATCTGCGACCTACGTTAGCATTGTGGCAAGACTCTGAGACGGTCGATAGATGGATGCACCTTCTCAATGTGCTTCTTGAGGTTACGCACACCGCTTTCACGGCAGTAGTACTTGATGAGCACATCCACTGCAGTAGGGTCGAGTTCGACATCTGCATCCTTCAAGCCTGACGCCTCCTTCGCTTGAGGTCCCAGATACCGAGACGCGATCTGCGACTTCTCCTCAGAGACGTATCCGCTTACTTCGAGCACTTCCATACGGTCGAGCAGTGGAGCAGGGATAGTGTCGAGCATGTTGGCTAAAGGCGACAGTCAGGAAGCGATCATAGAAGACGGAGCATGTACACACGCACCTGTGCATACGAAGAGAACACGGGACAGGTCAACGGGAACATCCATGCTACGGAAGTGTAAGCGACAGATACACGAGAGAGCCGGACACGACACCGACACTCACTAGTGATCGAGGAAAGCCGTGTTCTGCTCGGGGTCCAACATTTCGAGCAGGGCACTCGCAGGGTCGCCGTTGTGTCCACGACCTATCTTGTCAACCTCGTCGATGAGTACCAAAGGGTTCTCCGTGCCGACGCGCTTCAGGGCCTGGATGATCTTGCCCGGAAGAGCTCTGTGTAGATGGTGAGCTTCGACTGACGCGACATATAGTTCGTCACGAACCCGACATAGGTGCGTCTGTGACCTTTGATCTCCGCAACATCCGTCAAGCCACCAACCGAGAAGCGGAAGAACTGCCTGTTGAGCGCATGGGCGATCGACTTCCCGATAGACGTCTTGCCCACACCAGGAGGGCCGACTAGACAGATGATCTTGCCCTCGACCGTTCCACGAAGCTTGCCAACGGCCAGGAACTCTAGTATACGGTCCTTGACATCCTTCAACCCATAGTGATCCTCGTCAAGGACCTTCTGTGCGTGAGCAATGGAATAGTTCTCGGGCGAGTGCTGACCCCAAGGAATCTGACAAAAACGAGGTTGGTATCCGCCCTGCGTTAACAGCGATACAAAAACGTACCTGAGTGAGCCATTCCAAGTAGTTGCGCGTGACATTGGCCTCAGAGGCGGCAGGTTCCAAGTGCATGAGCTTGTTGAGCTCCTCATCGAAGACCTTGCGCACGCCATCCGGCATATTCAAGGCAGCAGCGCGCTCCCTGAACTTCTCGATGAGCTTGTCCTTGCCGTCAGACTCCATACCGAGCTCCTTCTTAATGCCCTTGAGCTGCTCCATGAGGTAGTACTCGCGCTGGCGCTTGGCGATTTTGCTGTCAACGTCGCGAGCTAGTTTGCTCTGGAGCTGCGCGTTGATGAGCTCCTTCTTCAACACGAGCAACGCCTTGCGCAAGCGGTCATCCACTACCAGACTCTCCAGAACATCCTGCAGTTCGTTAGGTTCGCCGGTCGAGACAGCAGCAGCGAAGTCCGCGAGCTTGTCCGGCTCGTCAAACACGTTAGAGGCAACTTGGTTGATGGAGAAGTTGGCGATTTGGTCCCGGAACAGCGGGTTCAGCTGTGCGATGTCTTTGAAGACAGACACGATCTCCGACATGAAGGCACGGATGTACTGGTCGTCCTTGTTATAAGGCTGGGTCACCAGATTCTCGACATTGACGACAGATACCGGATGTTTCTCGAGGAACGATGTTTGCATGGTCATGGCAAGACCCTCGCGCTCTGGTGGAGGCGTGGGGAGTTGACCCTCTGCCTCCGCCGCGGTCGCGCCCTCGGGCGTACTCTCCACAGGCTCGACCGTGGCAGTGCTTCCAGCCTTTACAAGCTCCGTCAGTCGGATGCGACGATGAGGATAGAGGACAGCCGTGAGCCCCTCTTCCTGACCATTCTCCTTGCTTCCCTGCGCGGTGAACACACTAGTGATCTGCGCGAAGACTCCGACAGGGTGTACAGAGTTGATGTCCGTGATGATGTCACTATCCGCGTTCTCATCTTTGAGCAAGAAAGCACCAAGGTAAGGCTGACCACGACGCATCATCTCTTTGATTGCCGCAACGACCGCAGGATTCCGGATGACGACTGCCTTGTAGAAACCAGGGAAGAGAGGGCGACGAGCGATGGGCAGTGCAAGGACCTGGGGATATGATTCCGGGACAGATTGTTTGGATATAGACGTTGGTGGTGGTGGAGGGGTGTCGGGAGGCGGTGGAGGGGCCGGCACATCCGGTTTGTCAGAGCCATCTCCGGAAGACGAGGAGGAAGAGGGAGGTGTAGAAGGTGGGGCAGAGGCTGGTGGGGCAGACTGACCGTCTTCCGGACCATCAAGCTTAATCCCAGGCTGCGACGAGTCTGTCTGCGACTGCGTGTCATCCGACTTCTGGTCGCGTGAGTTCCCCAACCTCGCGTTGACCCAGCGCGGTAAGCGTATTGCAGCTGTCGGCGTGTAGTCCGCCACGATGGACGAATAGAACGTGCGCTGCGTGGTGAGCGCCTTCCTCGCTGCGTAAAAGGTTGACCTCGACGGTCCTGCAAGGCTAGCAGAGAGAGCGAGCCTGGACGGCCCTGGGTCGCAACACGCTCGACTACATGATCGGGACGAAGAGGCAGCAGCTGCTCGTATACTTCCGAATACGTTCATGCGCGCCGCGGATGCCTGAGGCTACCAGAGTCCAACGGCGCGGTGGTCGAGAGGAAGGAGAATGAGGAAGGAGAGGGCGAAAGGAGGGGAAGGACAAGGACGACGAGCAAATCCGAGTATGTAGTCGCTGAGCAAGCTTCCACTGTGACGCGTCACTCAACTCGGGCGAACTCGCAACTATCTGATAAGATTGGTTTGTGCTGACTCAGCAGATTAGATCAGATTGGGCCGAAGCTGCTGAGAACAGGCTGAGGTTGTGGAACGTTCCGAACGGTTGAGGACGTCGGCGCCGTGCTCGATGTCTCTTCCCGCTCCTCTGAGTCTACCCTCCGCTTGCATGGCACAGACCGCGATTATTCATGTCCACTGCACAACCCCCCTCCTCAAATGGAAAAGCGAAAAAAGCCGAGAAGACAAATGACCATCTCTTTCCCATATTACTCAAGATGCTTGCGGGTGACAGCGTCGCCGACTTCGCGACGACCGCGGACAAATTAGCAGTCTGGTTGCAGGTGGACAAGGCCTATTACTCGAAGGCGCGCCCGACGGTGCGTCCCCCACTTGTGAGACGCGTTTCACGCCACTGACCGTCGCCTCCGTCACTCAGATCGTGCATCTGGTTGAGGTATGTCTGGTCACTCATGTTCACTTGTGCATCTACAACCCACACGCCTCTAGACTGCACACGAAAGTGTCCGCCGCCATAGTGACTCTCCAGACCAACCGTTCCACCAGTCGAGATGTACCGACGCACTCAAACCTTG